GACGTCAGATGTTCAAACAACCTTCACTTTTGACGCCCTGTCTCTAGACTATCGAAGGTATGCCCAGGATCAAAGGCACCTTTCACCCAAATTCTCGACTTCCACGTTCTTATCGCTTCCAGGCCTCCTAAAGGCCCTGATTCCGAAGAAAATCTGACGAAGATAGAGTCGAGAATCCGCGAAACCCTTGGAAATCCCCGTTTGAGAAGGGTGCAATGCAGGTCGCGGGGCGGCGGCGCGGATATACGCCGGGGGCATCATTTGCAAACCTGCAAAGAGAGGGGGGTGACCAGGTGAGCGGAGTGACCAGCACCGGATTATGTCCTTTTCGGAGCGGAATTCTTGCTCTGAAAGCAATGCGGCGGAATTTGGAGACTAGCCTAGTGTGGGGGCACACATAGGTATGCCATCGAATCATGTGAACCCCCACTTTGGGTGGACGGTGCCTTCAAGTAGTCCTATAAAGCGCATCTGAGACATCACTGATGACCAACCTGACGCTACTTGACTTTTGCCAAACGACGCATATGTTGAGCGTAGCCCTGTCACCGCGGCGTATCCCGCGCGAGTAGCGTTCTCTCCTACAGCATAAATTAATTGTGCGTACTATAATTAGAACCGAATATTCGTGTTCGAATAATTTATTCGAAATATTCGACTCTTCGAATATTCGACTATTCGAATATTCGAGACAGTCCAATTATTCAGTTATTCGAATAGTCGAATAAATGAAAAAGACCTGTATTCGAATAATTCGTTCATTCGATGATTTGGAAAAATGAGTTATTCGAATATTTGTTTACTCGAGGAATTTTAAAAGACGGTTATTCGAATATTCGGATATTCGAGCCAACTCGAAAGACAGTCATTCGAATATTCGAATATTTAAGAGCATCATTCGAACATTCGATGTCAAAAGAAAACTTTGGCTGTTCTACATTGAGTACAAGTATGTCCCCGATTGGTCAATCACACAAATGAATCATCAAATGACAGAATGGCTAGCAAGCTTCCCTTTTTAAAACATGAGTCGCGAGTCATGCCAGAGCATAGTGATGACAAGCCTTAAGCATAATTTATTTGGAGTGGTGAACTATCTTTTGGAAGTCGCGTCTGAGAAGTTGATACACGTAATCACGCGCAGATCCAAGCTCTAAATTGGGTGAAGAAGCAAAGCCATCATTAGGCGCCCTTTAGCGCACCACTGGTCCTCAAACAGCTTGCGTAAGCATGTGAAGGACCAGCAGTCCTTTAAGGCAGCAGGTATAAGCAACATTCTATCCTTCATCTCGAGGTCTTCATTTGCCTTGCCAGCCTAATCACCGCTCGCGTGTCAAAATACTTTGAAGATACGTTACAACGCAAGGCCAGAGCAAGGCGGTTGTGAGGACCTGAGCCGCTTGATCTGTGGCGGCAGCTTATATGTCAGTCAGTATACTCAAATCAGCTGCCCTTATAGTCAGGAGGCGTAGAAAACTAATGTTAGAATTACACGCCTACACGAAGTACGCGTATTGGCGCGTGTAGCCGTGTAATGTTACACGCCTACTCGAAGTATTATTCCTCTACGAACTTTGCATTATTGCAAAGTTCGTAGAGGAATAATACTCCGAGTAGGCGTGTAGGTTGAACAATAATTATTTTGAACTTGAGTAAAAGATATGGAAGATCCCTTACAACAAAAGTACAAAACTCAAAAATAAAACTAAAACAGCTTTGTGAGAATTCAATCCTACAGCAGAAACCGTGAAACTCGGGGATTGATAATCCCCGACAAGTATTAGATTATCAGCTAATATACAGATGTTATCACGAGTTTCCTTTTTCAGATTTAGATGAGCACAAAAGTATTAGGCTGTCCTGGAAGTTTTGTCCGTTTTTTATCGTCGCTCACTAGAACTCAGAGAACACCGATCCATGATCAGTTCAGGTACGATTTAATATCTTCTTTCTTACAGCTGTATTTGCTGTCTAATCTACTCTGTCTTTGCAATGTTAATACCAGCTTCCTGAGCAGCTCAGAAGTAACGCCAAATTTTTACTGAGTTTCAAAAATGATGTTATCCTGATGTTTTCAAAAGGCGCTGATGAATGTCGTGTAGAGCAAGCCTTTGGCTACATTGTACCCATTTTAGATTGCAAGGGCCATGTTTACCAAGTTCCTTATAAGTATTTGTTTGATAAAAACTGCGCCTTTTTGATTACGTTTACCACGTGAAAGTACCGAAAATTCCAAGAAGCTGCTTTTTCAAAGCAAATCAAATTTGGTTATGTAGCATAAATAATGTTTGATAAGATATTTTAATTCGCAAAAGTTTCAAAAGCTTTCGTGTATCTGCTGCAATTGTGTGTTTCATGACTTTGCCAGAAATCGAGACTTCCGAAGATATAATGTTTTTGAAGCTAAAAACAGCAAATTAAGAGAATCCAAAATATTACCTTGTGTTTATAATTGCTCTGTTTGATCCATACTTAGTCCTTTCCGAAACTTTGGAATGAAATTCAGAAAAAATAGCCTAACTTTGAGCAGCTAAAATTGACGGATGGAGAATTTTGGCAATTATTAAAGAAAGCATACAAGATTGTGGTTCGAAAATGTATTCTCAAAAAAGAGAAGGAAAAGCTGCATCGAATGCTGAAATCCATTCAGGTCTTTACTGTGCGTGGTTTCATACTGGTTTGAAAAAAAGGACAAAACTTTCGGGACAATAGCAGAGGTTCATTGAGTTTCATTGGTTCATTCATTTCATTCTATCAATGTAGGCCTTCCTCGTGCCCCTCCAGTGCTATTCTTAGAACTCACGCAATGCTGACCATTACGATTAAATTACAAAGGACTACCTAATCTAAAATGTTTTCCATGCTAAATCTTCAGCTTTGGGAAGAAGTTCTGTGTAGCTTCGGAAGAAAGTTCTGTGGGAAAGATAAATGCGGACTTGAAACGATTACTAAGTAAGGCTTAGTAGCCATCTTAAAAGGCCATGAACACCTCGAACTGCATGTTTGAGTGAAGTTCCTTCTGCTAACCAACGACAATAACCCAGTCATCCTACCACTTGCTGCACATATAATTATCAGCTACAAAGATATAGCGATAAATTTTTTTGCAGAAAACCGCAACAAAGAAAAAAACCAGCATTGTTTGAGGTGTCAGGTTATTCGAATTATTCGAATAGTCGAATATTCGATCATATGTAATTATTCGATTATTCGAATAGCCGAATATTCGACTGTATGTAATTATTCGATTATTCCAATAGTCGAATGTTCGACCAACCCCATTTACTCGAATATTCGTTCATTCGAATTTGAAATGTAGCATTATTCGAATATTCGAACTCGAATAATCTGAAAATTACAGATCGAATGATATTCGTTCGTTCGAATATTTTTCAAAAAGCCGATTATTCGAAATTCATTCGTTCGACGAAATTTTTTGGTCGTTTCAACTATAGTGCGTACCAGCAAGACCCGGGGCTCGCCGGATTGATATTGCCGGGCAGTCGCCTAAAGGGCCGCGGCTTGCCCGAGAACTAAATACACAGTGCGCCCAATAAGACCCGGGGCTTGCCCGAGTGTTTTTTCTTGGGCCGCGGGTATTCCGAAGAAACTTTGGAGGCCCGCGGCCTGTCCCTAGAAATAACATTAAGCCGCGGATGGCTAAGAAAACCAATATAGGGCCGCGGACGTTCAGTCCAAAAATTAAACGCCCGCGCACCGCCGAAAAGGACCGTTAGGGGCAGCGGGTGCTCGCAATAATTGTCTGAGTATTTAGATTATTTTTCACTTACGTCAGACCCTTTTTTGAATATTGGTCACCGCTTTGCTTTCTCCCTCCCCCCCCCCCCTCCTCCCCCCAAAGTAAGACCTTTATAGTAGAAATAGAAAAAATCCCGAAATCTTTCACTTAGGAATTTTTGCTCAGATGAATTTTTTTGGGTAATCATACCTCACCAGGCTGAAGAAACTCAAAGCGATTAGTTCAAAAGTTAGAAGACTTCTTGTTGACTTAGCATTTATGCATGAAACTACAACAAATGAACTGGATCTCAATTTATACAGTATCTGCGAGCCAGCGGCGTACCGAAGGGAGAGGAAACGGGGGAGCCCCCCTACCCCTAGAATGGGTCTCGAAATTTTTGAAAGTTACTTACATGAGTTATAAGAATGTGCGAGTGACTTGTTTATACTTGTATAATTAATTAAATTAATTTTTAGAAATTTTCAAAAATTTATTTTAGCCTTACAAAAAATTTTTCGGGGGCAATGCTTCATCTGCCGCGTGTAGATGCTCTGGATTTCCTAGATTTTCAACTATTCAGTACCCACCCTAGCTTCTACCCTCAACTTATAGAATACTTGAATCGCATAATCTAGGTATTTTATACAAAGTGAGATGGCTTTATCGTCAAACAGGATTTCCATTCTTTTTTGTTTTTGATTTCGGATCCATGTTTGTTTTGTTCTTTTTATTTTTATGTGTCATTGGTCCGTTTTTCTTTTCTGGAACTCAGTCTAGTTCGCAAAAAAGTGTCCAGGTGAGCAAGTGATATTTGGCTGAAATAAAGAATAAAAATAAGAGGCATATGGATCCCAAATCGCCACCGGCCCATCCAGTAATGCCCCTCCCTCCCCCTCCCCCCCCCCCCCCATCCGTGGGCACACATTCGTCATCGTTCCAGATTACCGGACTTTGGGTTCTCTAGAACGGAGATTGTCGGGTTTCGCGGAAAACTTCATATTCGGAACCAGGGACATACTAAGGTCCCGGGACGGCCAAAACATGAAATTATGGGTGGACTGTGCCTTTAACGACTCGACAGTGATTATGTAAACATGCTGGAACCTTTTATATGCTAAACATCTAGACTTCAACTTGTATAATTCATTGCGCAATGTTGACCACAATCTTTACATCTTTGCAAAAATCACGGAAAGGTAAAAATCTAAAAAAATATCCAACTAACGATCTCACCATTTTCCTATAACATAGTAAGTATGGCAGGAGAAGTTTAATAAATGCAGAGGAACGATTCGTTGCTTGAAACGTTTGAATGAGGCAAAGTGCAAGAAATGAAGGAGCAGCATAGTCAAGAGTTCGCTGACATGCAGCATTTTTGTGGAGAAGAAAAAAATTAATCAAAATTGCAGAGTTAAGCGAAATTCTCTTGAATAGGCGGAGCTCGAAAAGGCGTCGATGAACCCCGATGATAAGCAGTAGGCAATATGAATGGGTGAGAATATGTGTGAGTAAAGTGAACAAAAATGGCACCCGAATGAGTTTCGTCAATGGGTGAGAAGGGTCATGACGGTGTCGTCTAAAGCATCGAATATACGTACAAACCAAGATCATCGAGAAGACGATCAACTAGGACTAGACAAAGAAAATCTACTCGCTCAGCAGGGTGATTTGTCATTACAAATTATTACAGGACACAAAGCCATCTGAATCGAAAGTTAAACAGAACTGGGATAAGTCAGCGAGACGATGATCGTCGATTGTGCTCATTGCAGACATCCTGAAAAAACAAACTGATTAGAGGTCTAAACGTGCATTCAAAAATAATCAGTGTAAAAATAAACATATAGATAATTCTGCAAACTTCATTATAAGATGTCATATGTCTTCTTGCCTTAAAATTCGGGCATTTTTTGGCGATTAACTCCAAGATTTTTTTCTTGCGTTAATAAATTTTGATCTTATTGAGAAAGCACCACCAGAGTAAAAAGGGCTACTGATTTTAACATGAAGGTATGTTTGTTTATTAAGATAAACACTTCCTTATCTACTTTAAAATGACTAAATTCAAAATTTTATGCAAAACCTCAACTCTATTTGTATTATTCTCGCAATTGTGACTGATGTACACGTACATAAATTCAAATACGATTATTTTCAAACGAACACAGTTGCTTGGATTGGAGTGAGTGACTCACTAAAACTGACAATGACAGTTTCAAAAAAATCTATTCATGGCAGGATTCGCAAGCCATACCTTCCCAAAACCTTTCGGAAAGCTAACCATATTTGTTGCACGCCTAAAATGTCAGAATTCAAAAAAAGCGACGCACTGCCTGCAAAAAATCTTCCATGAACCTAATGAGTTTTTGAAACTGAGAAAAACTTAGATAAGGCTCACAGGTTTTTTTGCAGTCCGTGATTCGGTCTTTTTTTTGTTTTGTTTTTTGACATTAAAGCCTGCAAAAATATGGCCAACTTTTTGAAAAGGTATAGCATTGCGAATCCAGCCATGATGGAAATTCATTTCTAACTGCCAATTTAAAGCTTGCGAAAGATCCTCATCATTAGGAAAAAATAATAAATACTGTGGTATTTGCATAACGCATGTATACTACTCTCAATAATTATGGTACTCCTCGGTGCCCTTCATCGCCATCAATTTTAAGGGCAAAAAAATTACAAAAAAAGGAAAAAGACAATGACAAAAAAGAACTTAAAGGAAATTTAGTAATTTGACTGATTGTCAGACCTCAAATTGAGCATAAACGTTTGCATACCTGACACTGAAGTTATTGCATCCGTCTTCTCCTATCGTCCACTTCCAATCTACATCGATCTTCAATGGTGCTATCAACTTCACATCTAGAAGCTTCTTATCGTATCCATCAAGGGCTAAGCGAAGATGTTCGTCTTTCTGCAAATGATAGGGGCTGGAGCTTTTCTGCTGGCATAGCAATGCTTACATGTTCAGAATCAGGCAATTGAGCATAAGTGAAGGCATTTCGCCATCGAGGTAACTCTTTGTAACTTTGTGGATCTTGAGCCAATTCGGCATTCGTGCCGCCATTGCAGTGACGTCGGCCATGGCGAAGGCCGCATGTGGAGAGATGCCATCTGAAAGGGTTACAAGAAAACTCTAGGTACTTCCAGATCTCCTCAAAAATAGTGGAGAAAGAAATGTGAAAAGGACTTACCGGACAGCCACTTTGTCCCAGTGCTTACACCTCAGCGCTTCCGGACCATGCCATTTATATGTTCGACTACCGATCAGCTCCCACTGCTCCTCTCCACTCTAAATAGAAATTAACAGTTACTAAAGTAATCACACAAACTGTATTAAGCAATAAGCATGGAAAAGCCAGCCAAGTTGACGCAGACGTGCATGCGCCCGGCTATTGATGCGGTGCGGTTCTAGCTGTCTGCAAATCTTCTGTCCACGTTGTCTGCACTCATGACAGATCTTCGCGCCACAAACGCAAAAGACAGGAAATCATATACTCAGTTTCATTGCCAGTTGACAGAACTTATACAGGGTGTCCCAAAAGTAAGTACACACTTTCCAATCGTCAATATCTCTCTTTTCTATGGGTCTTTTGTTGTGAATCAAGTACCATTAGAGGAAGCTCCAACTTAGATTTGCAGTATCGATCGAATCACCGATTGCTCTTCATTATTGTAGGATTACTGTAGAAACTTCGACAAAGATTTTAGGCCTTTGGAAGCCATATCCTGCCTCGAAAAAGACCAAACAAGCCAAAAACTTTTATGCTATAGTATTGGGAGCCGCTGATTTCGAATATGAAACTTTTACTTCACTTTGATGCTTTTTTTAAAAGTTATCCCAGCAAACCGTAATAACCGAATTCACAGCATTTGTCAGAAATAAGATTATACCGTCAAAAGAGCTGAAAACACTCGTAAAAAGTTGTGTAGTGGAATCAGCGTGCGCGAAATCCTTAGTACACGATTTTTCAATTTTTTTGGAAAAATTTTGTCAGGTGGGATATTTCACAATGATTGCACGTGCTGCAAGTTCTTACCGTAATCCTACAGTAAACGAAGAGCAATCGGTGGTTCGAACAATACCGTAAATCTAAGTTGAAGCCTCCTCTACTGAATGGTACTTGACTCATTACAAAAGACCCATTGGGAAGAGAGATATTGACTGTTGAAAAGTGTGTACTTACTTTTGGGACACCCTGTATATTAGGTCAAACCCAAAGTAATGTCGCTTTTTTGAAATGAACGCCACATTTCGTGGAATCAAAATTTTCAAAAGATCCTAGGAGCATTCAATGCAGCATTTCATTCTCTTTTTAATGGTTGTAATGCCAGCGACCCATGCTTTTTGCCATGGCCAAGTTCGGCTATTTTTCTAAACTTTCGTACCTATTCTCCGAAGAAGTAAAAGCGACATTCAGATAGAGCAAACCTTATAGGACACAGAATAATTTTTTCTTTCCCTTAGCTTGCTTCCCAGAATTTCTACAATCAGTTTCTCAATGCCATAAAATTCCATATTTGGTCAACTCAAACCTCACAGAACAACAACCGGCAAGCAACTCAGGTGTCATTCGATGCAGCTTTTTTCCTATTTCTATCGGTTGTTTTATGTTTCCAGTTCATCAAGTTTTCCGGGATAAAACCATCATAATTCAGGTTTTCCAGAGCGCCCCAGGCTGTACTCGGGATTTTCGAAAGTTGCTAATCTGAAGCGGTAAATGCTCGTTTGGTTTGTAAAATTGTTGTCAAACCATAATCCATCTTTGTAAGTTTCAAAATCCGAGAACTTGTTGGTGTCTGATGCATTTGTGTCTGAGACCAGCCTGCTAAAATTCGGTGGTTCCATCAAAAAATTTGTATGAAAATTATGACGAGCGCTGGAAAATAGAAAAAAGTTATGCTGTTTCCTGTAGGGTTTGCTCTATGCACCCATTACTTGGGCTACTTCCAAGATTTGTTATAAAAATCTAGAAAAATTGCGAAACTTGGCCTTCACAAAAAGCATGGCTCGCAAATTTTGGTAATTTTTCGAGGGCTCATTGAATGTTATGCAGTGATATTACAACCATTAGAAAGAGAATGAAATGCTGCATCGAACGTTACCAGAATCTCTTGCATATCTTTGTTTCACGAGATGTGGCGTACGTCTGAAAAAAGCGACATACTGGCACTTACTTTTGCCTCTACTACTCCTCTGCCTCCAGCTACTTGACTTGTATTTCACTTATTCCAAGAACAAGCTATCGCAAAGGTGCTTGCAGGCGCGCTCGCTTCAGGACCACCTCGGTTGCCCGTTATCTAACGTTTTTTGATTTGCGCTTATGATTCTTTATACAGGGTGTCCCAAAAGTAAGTATCGAACGTTTGATCGTTAATAACTTCCCTATATGAAGAGCTTTCGCGGATCTTTGAGTGCCATTCTGTAAAGCGAGGTTCAACTTAGATTTGTGGTGTGGAACGAATCAGCGATCGCTCTTCATTACTGTAGGATTACGGTATGAACTTCTGGCATGTGGATCTACTATGAAATATGCCATTTGACAAAATTTTTCCCAAAAAATCAGTAAAATCGTGTACTAGGGTTTTCGTGCACGCTGATTCCATAATACAACTTTTTGCGAGTGTTTTTAGCTTTTTTGAAGGTGTAATCACATTTTTGACAAATGCTGGAAATTCGATCATTTAGGTTTACCTGGGATAACCTTGGAAAGAAGCGTCACAGTGAAGTGGAAATTTCATATTTGAACTCAGCGGCTTCCATTACCCATGTATAAAAGTTTTTGGCTTGTTTAGTTTTGTTCCGAGGCAGAATATGGCTTTCAATGGTTTAAAATCTTCGTCAAAATTCCTACCGTAATCCTACAGTAATGAAGAGAGATCGGCGATTCGCTCCATACTACAGATCTAAGTTAGACCTCGTTCTATAGAATGATGCCTCAACCTCGGCGAAAGACATAAAAGCAAGGGAGTTATTAACGATCAAACGTTCGATACTTACTTTTGGGACACCCTGTATATTAGATTTGCAAATAATTTGACCTTCATTCCACCTGCAAATGAACGGCAACAGTTCAAAATTGCATTACAACGTAGCATGTGGCTTTCGGAGGGGGAAGGTGTAACCTCAGCCAGGAGAACAACTGCGTCGTCGCCGTCACACTGACGCTTATTCACTGCCTCAGGGCAATTACAAGCCCACTCTGCTTTCATATTTATAATTTTGAGATCATAGTAAGCTTCTAAAGAGCGTATTGAATGGTTGGCTTACAGCCAAAACTCATAAAAATTTCTAAAATTTTGAATATTTGCGGTTTTGGTTATATCACAATTTTTCAGGACAAATGAGAAACTATTTTCCTTCTCTGGTCCTTGTTTATTTCCGTAAAATCTATGTGCCCTAGCAGAAAAATGCTTATTTTCAAGGATTGCTTGGATCCTTGCAACAATGTTAACACAGATACTTCATCTTTAGCCCACGCAGCACTTTTTTGTCCGAGTTTTCTCCTTGCAGACTGTATGCCAAGCAAATGTGCTATTTAAACAATCTAAAAGTGTTTGGACCAGTTCTTTCCCAAATATCAGTCAACTGTCAGCATCGCTTAGCGCACATATGAACCTCATTCCGATCTAATGAACTGCGCATCTGCGATCGACTGAGATTCGAATTTTTCGGGGATGCCAGCGAATTTTTTTTGCCTCGATGGGCCAATGTTGAACGTGCCCTCACACATTCTTTTCCATCTAATTTTTTATAGCCCTATGTCCAAAAATAAAAAAGCTTACTCATCAAAGTCATCGTTGCCTTGAATCGCACGTTCCGCTGTTTTTTGATATTTCATTATTTTATACCATTTAGATGTCCGAATACCTCGGATGGACAGAAAGGCGACCGCCATTTGGAGTACAAAAACCTCCAAGGGACGATATCTTACCAGGAGGACCTGTAACCCAAAGCTATGAAAACTACGTCAAAAACGTCTTTCACCCAATGAATCGAACCAAGCATGTAGGTGTCCGTTTGCCCTCACAGATTTCCCCAAGAAAATCTCCTAAGCCCCTAATTTCAGGATAGCGCTCAAATGGCAGCCGATCATGGAGTGTCTGCTTCAAATATGCTAAAAATGGAGCGAACTCTCGGAAAACATGCTCTTGACGATACAATGGATTCTTATTCATTCGATGACAATGGGTTGTTTTTGAAAACGCCACTTGAAGCCCTATATTCCGAATTAGGATTGAATAAATCGGAGGTGAGATCTATCTCATTCGAAAAGTTCTCAACTATTCTAAGGCATCAAGTATACCTTACAATACTTACAACTCTGATGCAAGGTTTTCTTTCCTTAAACCTAACTAGCGATTGTGACTTGCTGATTTTGAAACAAATATAATTCATCCTATATCCTAAATTCTTCTATAATGAATTGAAGGACAATTTATAGTTAGATGAAATAAAATTAAATTTGCATGAAAGCTTAACCAAAAAAATAGCTATATTCTGATCCTAACATAATATTTCATTTCCGGATTCTAGGCATTTCGCTAATCCTTAACCACTTTTATGCGAGCTATTTATAACTTAGTGTGTGTTTCCACAGAGCGCAGCATCTCACGACTCTTTAAAAAAATTAGAAGCCGGTACTAATGACGCAAGTAGAAACATTTGTCGCCTTTCGATCTTACAGTAAGGTAAGAAAATTATTTAGAAATTTTTTTTGAGCTAGTAAGTCGTGGCACACCGCGGTCAGTGTGCAGTACACACATAAACTTAAGAATGACGCATCTGTAGGATGGGATTACTATATTCGGCTCAAGACTCAGCATGTCATACTGTGAAAATACAAAGGTAATTTGATTGTTTGGTGAGCCTTAAGCACGAAAATCGAAATTTTTGACTCCACAGTCCGATTGCGTTCAGGGCCCGGCACAAGTCCATTTCTAGAATTCTTGAAAACTAAGCTCTCCCCCCCCTCCCCCTAATTCTCGCAAAATTTTACGAAGTCTCATTTGATCCAAAATCGTTTCTGGTTCCATAAAAACAACATTTCTCGCTTTTTCGCCCCGAAAAAGAAGTCTTGCCTAACCCGAGACGATCTGTGCCGGGCTCTAATTGCGCTTGTTCCAAAACCAAGAAAACATCGATCTTCACTTCTCCCCAGAAACTTCTATTTAACACTTTTAATAATTTAAATAACTGCTTCTATTAGCATGCCCTCTACCGTCAATTTCCTGTATACACGCCGAAGCAGTCGAGCGAATACTTTGCCATCTCACATGGGGCCGATCGACGGCATGACCGCCATCCAGTACGCCTTGCCCTTTTGGGACAGCTTCGAATTATTCATACTAGGCTTCAAAAGCAATTATTAATTCAATTTCCATATGCAGGCTCCACTTTATTCATCGTATCGCGAACAAGACGATGACGAGTATGCAAAGAACAATCGCAAGACATTGATCGACTACAAAGACTTTGATCGGTAAACGTTCTTACGTTGTTTTTTTTTGCAAATTCCCTAAAAATCAAACAGAATTCAATTTTACCACCCCTCATGTAAAATAAGCTGATTAATCGGCATCTTCAGAGAGAAGTCACAAAGGTACGCCTATGACGGCTACATGTAGTAAGTTTGTATAACCTGATTACGATATGAGTAGTAACCTTAACCTTAGTATGACCTTTGTTGTCGCTTTAAGCTGTCGTTCACGCCTTTGCCTCTAACCTTTTGAGTAGTAATTTGATGCTGGTAAACTAATGATCAGGGTAGAACTGTAAGTTCTGTAAAATTACAGATGTAAAGAAAGCCAAAATTCAATTCTTACAACTTACACGTCGAGTCATCCATAACTTAATGTGAGTACTGCAGAATGCGCGCTACATCACACGCCTTATATTCCTTGCAAATCGCGATTTTGGGGATTTGCCGCTCTTTCTCTCAGGTTTTGTGCTGAAGTAGATTCAAACAGACATAAGTGCACATTCTATTCTTGATTTGCCACATCAAAATCTTTGCATCAAGAATCTGAGATTTTGGAGCCGTGAGGTTGTGCGCTTTGTCTGCAACTTCACACATTAAATTACGCATGACTCGCGGATAAGAGCAAAGGGAAGAAAGTTGTCGTCAATTCTTCTTGAACCTAACACTTGACTAAAATTATCACTTTTATCCACACTTGCATCGAAATTTTCCAATTTTTCGTGGTCCTTTGTAGTTTCCAAAATTCTGTTGTTACAAAAAAAGAAAGTTGATGCGCTTTCTAGTGCTGAAGCGAAAACAGCAGCACTATCGTCGGCATATCGTGGGTTTGCATTTTCTTCTCCTGTAGCTCGATTAAAATTGTTGGAATCCAACAAAATGTGGATATATTATAGTTTTACTAATTTTACAGACCCAGCATTTTTTATTAAGGGGAGATTTGTGAAAATTGATTTTTAATAAAAGCCTTCATATTTTTTTTGAGTATGATCAATGATTTACCACTTAAGTGACGGAATTATACATATTGAAAACCGTCTGAGAATTTTCGGATAATTTTTGAGGATGTTTTGCAGGAATGCTTTTGAGAAGGCCTCTGTCTCAATTGGGAAAATATTCGATTTTTCATGTTCTCGTTCAAACTCACTCTTTCCAACGATTTGCATTGCTGATAAATTTTTCGGTTTCAGCAAGACGATAATTATACGAAAGGATCGGGTGGTTGTTGGTTCATTTATAGAAGTGTAATAGGCAACAATATAGCTAGTTATAATTAGAGATACAGTACCATTTGCCTGGAAATCTTGATTCAAAACAAACTCAGATTGAATCAGAACTGTTTTTGTTTTCAGCTTTTTCTAATTTTGAACCCTTGTTGTACAAAGTCCAACTGATCAGTATTTTCGCCCACAGTAAGAATAAAATTTTCCAGTTCACCTCTATCCCCGTATCTGTACAAAGAGCATCCTTACATTCGAGACCAAGACACGCGAATTGTTGGATCAAATTTCGTTCAAGTAAGTCCCATTGTCACTTACTTATCCCATCAATCGATAAGTTCCAGGTGACATCTCGTCCAAAAGATCGATTTCTCGAGAAAATCGACCAGACATTGGCAGAAGTGAGGGCAATGCCGAGATACACTTAAGAACACATGCTCAGCGACGAGGATTCTCCAATCCATCTGTTGGCTCGAAAAAAATGTAAAAATCAGCTTGCGAGCTTGCGGAAGTTGTAGTCAGCTGCGATGCATACTTGTATTCCACACGGGAGCTCGCACAAATAAAAATTATTGTATTTGTTGAACAGAGTAGCATTGCTATTCTATCAATAGATTTTTCCTTCACCAATATTCAATATCGAATATTTTTTGGTAAGGATACTATTAATTTGATGAAAACAAAAAAAAACTCGTTTTGTTGAATAAAGTTGAGAACAAATGCCAAGAAATAAAGCAAACCTATGGTATAAGAGTCCGCGCAGGAAAATACAAATAAGATTTGATTCAACTGGCGTGGCTTCGGGAAGGCGGGGCTTCGTGACCTAATTGGGTTAGGTAATGATCAGAGAGCACTAGAGAGACGCAGGTGCGTCGCGGGTGCTAGCGGCCTTAATTAGGCCACAAAGCCCCACCTTCCCGAAGCCAAGCCAGTCGAATAGGTTAACTATCGTCGCGTCACCTGTGATTTGATATGTGGGCTTGCACAATACACACGGCAACCGACGTCAACTCTGCTAAAAGCTCTTCAGTGAGACTTTTCCCACCGTAACTAATTATAGAAATGTGCACTACTAGCCAATTCATATCCAGCCAGACCAAAAGGGACAAGGAAACGAGGAGAAATTGCTGGAAATAAACAGGTCCTTATCTTAAAAGCCGTCAAGTGGCGCGCATGTTGTGTAAAACGCATATTTACATAATGGCTCGAGACTACACGGCAATTTTCACTTTCGTTTGTGGAATTAGGAATTCTTTTTATGCGCTAGTCATACAAGTGGCGCATATAAAGATAAAGTCAAAATGGGTTTATATGTAGAAAAAGTGAAAATTTCGCGAACTTGTTCGATACTGCGATTTTGACAGGATTGTCTGCGGTAATCCAGGTTAGAAACAATTTTCTGTTGATTTTTCTGTGAAATTTACAACCTCTTTCAAACTCGATAAATTTCAGTTTATTTCAATTCGTCAAAAAGCAGAAATCAACCTTTTTTACTTGCTCCACGATAGGGACTACGTTAAAAATCGAAAACGAAGAAGGGTACAACTGGTCCATTTACAATTTTTTGTTAACTCCAAAGATCTATATCTAATCTAATCTAATGTATGAAGAATCGTAACGCCAATTCAAAAAACATCAAATAGCGGGAAATCGCGGTGGGGTCCCGAAGCGCGCGGATGCAATCTAGCACCTTTAAAGGCAGTGTCCCGGCAGATTCGGGTCCTGGGGGATATACGTGTGGTGGGGTTCCTGGTCACCCCATCGACCTCCAGGCGCACTCCGGCTGGGTGATGTTCCCCCTGGGCCGAGAAAATGGCCCTTGAACCGGCGCGCGCAACCCCAACTGGCGCGCGCTTGGACGGCCTTCCCCGCCTGTTCGGCGCGGGACCCCACGAGCGCTCTCCCCCATGATGCATGCTATCCAAAGCAAGAATTACAGGCGGCAGGATCTTCGTCTGAGGACCTCCCCTTTTCCATTAAAAATCTCGTCCAAGCTGCTTTTCTGGAATTAGAAAAAGGCCCCAAAATCGGCCTTTTCAGCCCGTTCAAAGCTCAAATTCGGATTCTACGTGGCGAAAAGGCCTAAAACATGCAAAAAGGTGGAGGTGCAAAATCTGCCGGGACACTGGCTTTAATGCTGGTTCACTAGTCTAATGTACAAAGAATCGTGGAGCTAATTCAAAAAACATCAGAGAGCGTGAACCGGTGCGGTCCCGAAGCGCGCGGATTTCAAATTCTGGTGCACTATGTAGTCGCAGTAAAATTCGGGACCATTTACATATATCAAAGTGAGTGACGTTCGCATCGTGTGCAATTCCATAAGAAAATGCATGAATATAAAAAGATTAGAATAATGTTCGCAATAACACGGATTCTCACAGACAAAAACGAGAATTCTCCTAAATGAAAAATGACATAAACTCGTCGATAGAATATGGTACATAAGTTAGCAAAGTAGAGCGCATGCTTCTCTTTCCAAATGGATCTCGAAAAGATATTTATTGAGGCAGAAAGCTTACGCAATTCAAAATCACATTCAAACAAGTTTCATTGTGTGTTTGAAAAAATCCAAACTAATCACAAAAAATCCTTTCAAAGCGATACTTTCATACCCAAGTACATATCCTACGGCTGATGGCTTTCGCATTATTATGATCCCTTCTCAGATCATTCGTATAATGTTTACCAGAGCACATAAGTGTCATAAAATCTGCACAACTCACGATTTTCGACTTTGTTGACGCGAAGGTGACCGGCAATAGCAGTAGTGTCAACAACAGCATGATATTTTCCTGAAAATACTTATTTAAGCTGCTGAGTAAGGATTTGAGACTGCATTAACGGATTAGAGGGAGAGAGGGAAGTCTGAAATGTCACAGCAGAAAAACCATCGTAGTGATAGATACGTGAGCTATGAACTCAGCTGAAGAAATGATATTGGTTTTTGGGAAGTAAGAGATTATCACGGCCTAACACAAACCGACATACTGTCAATTCGAAAACAAATTCTCTTTTGAATTCCCAAATTTTCCTGAATTCCTCCCTAGCTACTGCGAATTTTAAGCTCCTTTGTCCCGCAAACAAGTTCCAATCGATAAATCGATTTTCTGGCAGCATCGTAACCTATCCAAACTTTAGGCCAGGGCTCAGCACAGCTGGCACCGGGTCAAGCTAAATATCGTTTTTAGGGCGGAAAGCAAAGGGGATATCGTTTGAACAGCGCCGAGGCGGAGAACTGCCGCAAAAATGCCGCCGGCATGCCACCGGCATGCCATTGGCAAGCTGTCCATCAACAAACAAAGGCGTTGTTTTCAGCCAAAACGCAATAGTATGACACCAAATTTGGTGTGTGCATGCGCGTTGGTGGGCCGGAACTACGGGCCAAAAATTCATGAAAACTTATGCGAATGAAAGCTGTGCCGAACTTTTTTCCTGAATTAGCTGGCACCGTGCCAGCTGGGTGCCAGCTGAGCTGGCACCGACAATTTGCTCACATAAGTTTTCATACTTTTTTACATAAAATGTATCTACACTGTAAAAGATTACAGACGGAGAAGAAACAGTTTCATAATGTTCTCTTTTCAACGTTTTATAGCATTTTAAAAATCACTCGGTCTCCTCCGCAGTCGAAAAACCGGCTTTTTCTGTTCCTCAAGATGTGATTTGTCCACTTAAAAAGCTCAGAAAGCTGTGAAAAGTTTTTTCATGAAATCAGAAATGCATGAAAACACTACTACAATTTTTTACAATAATATAAAAATGATGACGGGTTTTCAAAACAGGTCAAAAGGGACTTCGTGCAAAATATTCAATATCAAACGGGACTTCGTTTTGAAATTTCCCTGGTGCCAGCTCGTGCCGAGCCCTGCTTTAGGCTCTTCAAAAATGCTTTGAATTTGTAGGAATAAAGAAATCACCTTTCAAATCATCCCAACTGGGTCTCCTCAATTTTTCTACTTCTTCTCCCCCCCCCCCCCCGCCCTTTCTTCCTCTCCCTCACGCCAGTATCCCTGGCATGAAATTTGAAACCTTAGTATCTGCGTTCATTAGACTTCAGAGAGAATTTCAAGATTGAGTGATATAAATAGTCTCAGTAAAATTGCTATCCAAGTACAAAATACGTGAGCACCCATATAAAATAGTTATAAAAGCTTTGAGAACTGCTTGAGCTTGACACCGGGATTAGTAATTGCTTTATTCGACTGACGTTTCGGCAAAATCGCCTTCTTCAGAGTCTAAAACAGCTGATGACCGTATACGGTCTGCTGCCAAGCAGTCATCAGCTGTTTTAGACTCTGAAGAAGGCGATTTTGCCGAAACGTCAGTCGAATAAAGCAATTACTAATCCCGGTGTCAAGCTCAAGCAGTTCTCAAAGCAATTTCCACAATGCCGAGATTGAGCGACGGTCGTACTTGGAGTTATAAAAGCCTTTCTAATATCTCTTTGGAATGTGAAGCAGTCATCCTGAGATCAAGTAAGATGATTTTTGAAAATATTTTACGCCGTAATTCGACAGTTGTTCAGATCTAACATAAACTCCATAAAACTATGGCAGAAGGCGGAGCAAATCGGGATTTGAATCATTTTTTGTAGTATTCAGAGGAAATAGATTGTAAGACGAGCAAAGCAGTATAATCAAAAAGAATGATATCTAATTCAGAATGATGTACGGATGTCAGTCTTTACCAACCTCCCTTTTTTGAATTTAATGGCTTTCATTTGTTTGAATCTAGCTCAGAACTGATGTTTTTGTAATGTTTCTACAAAAGAATCTGCACAGATTTAGGTTTGAGTTTGGTGGAATAAACCATGCCTTCAGACAAATTCGATTTGGATTTTTGCCTACATTTTCGTGAGTTTCAAAAATTAGTAAGGCAACAGCGGAATACATAATGATGGTGGTCGTTTTCTGAGCAGATGTTTAGGAATCGATTCAAACCTTTTAAAACTTACAAATTTTCATATAATCAGAAAAAAGGAAAAGTCGGGAGCAGCTCCTCGGAGAGAGAAGTTTTATATCAACATGAAACGAATGTACGGAAAAAAACCAGTACCTTCATCGACTGGCAAAGGACGAGTATTCCTAAGAAATTACTGTTACTCTTAGGTAAACATGGGTGAAGTGGAAGCAATCAATGACTTTTGTATGCACAGTGCTACAAAATTCAAAATAACAATTTTTGACAAGAGGTAGAAGAAAGAATAATAGAACGACAAAAAAAAGAACATCAGGAAAAATAGCACAAAAAAGATGTCTGTAATGCTGAAATTAGGCTGGAACGAGTAAATTTCAAATTGCAAGAATCTGCACTTGGTCGAAATGTTCAATTATTCTCTACTTACTTGGAACATTGCCAGTTTGGCCTTGCAGACTGGCCTGCGAAATACCGAGAGAAAAGGGTTAGGGTTAGATGCCTCTAGGCAAGGAACTAAGTCACCTATAAGCTGTCTTTTCCTCGTCCATGGGAGAGTGCATTAACAGAAAGGGCAAATTGCTTACCCCTTTGGCATTTTAGTGAATTCTGCATTTTGGAGTGGGAATAGAAAAATGAGCAGGATTTAA